TTTCAGCTTGACCGAACCCTTAGGGTTTAAAACTCAAAAATTGCAACTTTGCTTCTAGGGCTTCCAACACTTGTTCTTTAGGTTTACCCTACACCATTTTTCATTTTGAACACAATGGAAGCCTCAAAACTTTGAAAAACACATCCTAGGGTTCAGATCTTGTCTTGGCCGAAAATGACACTCAAGGAAGTAACCATGAAAAATGCTTCAAAACCAAATATAATCACTTGCAAACACTAGGATCTAGCTTGTGTTGTAGTATTTTAACAAGTGTGATGAGCAAAACTCCCTATCCCCTTAAACAACCAGTTCAGCCAGCATCAAAAGAGGGAGAGAAGACATATTTTCAACCATAAAAGAGAAAGAAAACAAGGCAAGAACACATCTAGAGCCAAGAACTCACCTTGAACCTTGATTGTATGACCAAAGTTGATGCCTTTCTCTTGGTTTTCCCTCAAAACTCTCTCTTTTTCCCTCTCTTCATGCCTTGCACGAAATTCCCATCTGATTTAGGGGAGAGATGAGCTCATCAATGCTATCAAAATATCCCATCTACCACAATTAATGAAGAGCCAAGTGTCATAAGCCTACTTAGTCTTGCATTTTCTCTTTAATTAACTTAATTCACATTGTAATTAAATTCCAAAGTCAAGATCCTCTCCATTGGTAGCTTGACACTTGGAAAGCTCTAATTATCATCCATTAAAGGCTTGACAAGTGGTAGCTTATGGGCCAAGTAAAGTGCAAGGCTCCGATCAACACTTTATCGGTGCGCTTTTACTCCGGGTTTAACTTCTTTTCTATAATTACAGTGCTCTGGCCTCTGTAATTATTTTCTCTCAGATCCATAAATTATTCTCCTTATTTTTATCTTCCCAAATTTCCTTTTTTGTCTCAAATTTAATTTCTCAATAATTAAATAAAAAGGAAAACTATTTTCCTTCTCTTTAGTGATTTTTCCACTTTTCCAAAGAATTGGAAAAAATCCTGGATACTTGAGGGTCTTCTTTTAATTTCATAATCTCTTATAATTCCTTGGGATTTCATAGGAATTTTTTTTGGATTTTATCCTTCTTAAATATATTTATTTGGAATTTTCCAAATAAGGACCTTAAATTAGCTTAAATTGCCCTTAAATTCCTTTGTAATTTTTTAAGGGCAAATTGGTCATAAAACCAATTTTATAATTCCATATAATTCTCAAGGAACCTTGTCCTTATTTTTCCTTAATTTTCTGAGACTTGGAATTATTTTTCCCCTATTTACTCTTGACCAATTTTCCTTAATTAGTCAAACTTTTCATAATTGGCTTGAAAAATTATAATAATTATTTTCCACCCAAAATTCTTCTATTACTCCTTGTCATTTTTGACCCTTAATTATTTATGAATATTCCTATTTCCTAAATACCATATTTCTGGATGTGACAATCATCACCTCAAGAGGTCAAGTAGTTCAAAAGCTCTAAGAAGATGAAATTGTGATGGAAGGAGTCCACTACCAAGCATGATGGCAAAGGGAATACAAAGGAATCTGAACCAAGCAAGCATGGAGCCTTGAGCAAGGAAGGTAAGGAGGTAGACATCTGTAACATCCAATACTATGGTAATTAGGAATAAGAAATATTCCTAAATAATTAAGACTCAAAAATGACAAGGAGAAATAAAAGAATTTTGGTGGAAAATAATTATTATAGTTTTCCAAGCCAATTATGAAAAGTTTGACTAATTAAGGAAAATTAGTCAAGAATAATTATGGAAAAATATTTTCAAGTCTCAGAAAATTAAGTAAAATGAGGACAATGTTCCTTGAGAATTATATGGGATTATAAAATTGGTTTTATGACCAAATTGCACTTAGAGAAACTATAAAAGAATTTAAGGGTGATTTAAGCTAATTTAAGGCATTTTATTTGGAAAATTAGTTTGGAAAATCATAAAGAGAAGAAATTAGTTTTCCTTTTTATTTAATTATTGGAAAATTAAATTTGAGAGAAAGAGGGAAGTTTGGAAAGATAAAAATGAGGAAAATAATTTATGGATTTGACAGAAAATAATTACAAAGGCTGGATCACTATAATTATAGAGAAGAAGTTAAACCTAGAGTAAAAGTGCACCGATAAAGTGTTAATCAGAGTCTTGCACTTTGGTTGGCCCATAAGTTGCCACTTGTCAAGCCCCTATTAGAGAGTAATTAAGCTTTCCAAGTGTCACACCTCAAGTGGAGGAGAGTTTGGCTTTTGAAAATTAATTACAATTGGAATTAAATGATTAAGAGGGAAAATTCAAGAAGGAGTAGGCACTTGACACTTGGCATCTCATTAATGCGGGTAGATGAGATATTTTGGGAGCATTAAGTGAGGTCTTCCTCCCCCCTTTTCAGATCTATGTTTCAGCCAAGGAGAGATCAAGAGAGAAAGGAGTGAGCTTGAAATGGAAACAAGGAGAAAGCAACTATCTTGGATCAAGTAAGCTTGGAGTTATGGTTGGTAGTTGATTCTATATTGTTCCTTGCTTGATTCTCTTGTTTTTTATGGTTGAAAATTCTGGTTCTTTCCCTTTTATTATGCTGGACGAAATAAATATAAAGAAGGGAGGGAAATTTTGTTGTTCAAACTAGCTAGAACACTTTAAATCATGATAGTTTCAAGTGACTTGATGTTGTTTTTGGAAGCTTTGTTGGTTGGTTTTCAAGAGATGCTATTCGGCCAAGAAGAAAGCTAGGACCTAGGATGATTTTTTCAATGTTTTGATGCTTCCATGATGCTCAAAATGAAAAATGGTGTAGGATAAACCTAAAGAACAAGTGTTGGAAGCCATAGAATCAAAGTTGCAATTTTTGGATTTTGAACCCTAATGGTTCAGTCAATTAAAAACCAAAAAAAGAAATTTTATTTTGTTAAATCTAAGTAGATATTTAGAATCTACATGAAAAATCATGTAGGAATGAGTTAAGAGGGAATTTTTAGGATTTAAGGAAACAGACTCTAAAATTTAAAGAACAAAGGTAGAAGCTTTAGGGGACAAATGTTGTCTTTGAATTATGTTATTGATTTTTATGAGAAATGGTTGATGATTCTTGCTTCCCTTTTTGTGGATTACCATGTTAGGGTTTGGCATTTGTGGAAGCAAGAAAGAAGAACAAGGAAATCAAAGAGCATTGGATCAAGGTAATAAGATTTAATTAACCTTAATGTTGAGTGTTGCATTGATTGCTATGCAATTTCATGTGCTATTATGTGGCTGAGCTAAATGATGATGATGATGATGATGATGATTGTGTAGCTATACTCCTTGCTTTATGTGCCTTGGCTATTGTATGTTAGAGTACTACATGTATGAGCTAAAGTAGTTTCCTATTAATAGCAAAAGGTTGGAATGCTTGTAATTGATGCGTATTAATGTTTTGGTTAATTGATCTTGCTAGATTTCATTGAAATCTCATCCCCCATATGTAACTAATATTTTAGGGACTGAATCATCAAAAGGGAGGCTGCAAATCCAAGGATTAATATGGTGATGAGCCATGAGGAAATATTTATAGTTGGTTATGTATAAGCATGTATGGTTGGAGCTGTAATCCCTAAGTAGGATGCTAGTTTAGAGCCATGTTTTATTAAGTTACCTAATGAATTTCTATAAAAAATTTGATATGCTTAAATTTGACATCATAAGCTTCAAATTGATAGGCAGCATGTTAAAAATAGCCAACTACACAATTTTTAATGATTTTTCAAAGTTAAGGTTCAGAATCTGGAAAAAGATTTTTGCCAAATGGACAGAGGTGACTTTCACAAAAACCTGACACTTTTTCAAATAGAATTGGTTCATAAGATTATTTTTTCTTGAAAGAGCATTCAAAGATATTTTTATAGAATTTTGAACCACTCCATTTAAATTTTTCTATATTAAGTTATGAATTTTTGAAGTTGGGCTAAAAATTGGATTTTTACCTGATGAACAATAAAAATCCGAAAATCAGCATTTTTCATGGATTTTTGAGCCCAAGACCATCCAATATGGTCTAAAATGGTTTTAATTAAACCCTAAGTAGATTCAATAGTAAGGTGTGACAACATCAATGAACTACCTTTTACTTATTCTTACTTAAAAAATGTAAAAATAGGCAATAAGAGGCAAGATCATAAGTTGCTTGAGTCTTTTAGGAAGGTAGAAGTCAACATTCCCTTGCTTGACCTGATTAAAAAGATTCCTAAATATGCAAAATTTCTTAAAGAGTTATGTACACAAAAGAGGAGATTTAAGCCTAATGAAAGAGTCTAATTGCCCTCTAATGTGTCTACCTTGTTTAAACCCTAAACCCTAGTAAAATGCCAAGAGCCTGGATCTTTCACCATCCCTTGCACTATAGGAAAAGTCACTATAGGGGGAACCTTGCTAGATCTAGGAGTAGCCATTAATGTCATGCCTAAGTCTGTTTACACTTCATTAGGAGTCAAGACTCTTAAGTCTACTATTGTTGTACTCCAACTAGCTGATAGGACTATTAGGTACCCTGAGGGCATTATTGAGGATCTTTTGGTCCAAGTTAACGATTTGGTTTTTCCTGCTGATTTCTATGTGCTTGACATGTCTTCTGAGCTTATAAATGACACCACACTAATCCTTGGTCGACCTTTCTTAAGGACTGCTAATACCATGATTAGCATGAAAGAGGGGACTATTACAATGGAAGTGGGTGATAATAAGGTTTCTTTTAACATGCATAAAGCAATGAAACATCCTTATGAGGACTATTTACTTTCGGGTGTTAGCATGATAGACATTACAGTTGAGGATGCTTGCTCTAAAATTGAATTGCAACATGATTCTTTCTACTCTGACCTTTACTCTACTGATTCTAATGATAAAGATGAATCTATTTCTTCTTTTTCATCTCTTTCTACTTGTTCATGTGGTGGTGACGTGATATGCCTTGACTGTACTATAATTAATTGCATGCTTTCGATCCCGTATACATTCTCTATGTCATCTACCGATATGAATTCGAATTGTGATTCTTCTATTATCAGTGATGATTCCCTTGGAGAAAGGTTTTCTGTTGATATTTCAGATTGCCCTAACATTATGGAAGCTGATGCTGAAATGAAGAATGATGGTATGGAGAAGAATCCCTCCAAGGTGGTTGCAGCTGTAGATCAACTTGAAGTTCGTTCAACACTTGGAGAGGAAGGAAACTACAAAATATTCAACTAGAGCTATTATTGGTTGAAGGAAAAGGGAGTAATCTGTTCTCTCTTGAACTTCATAAACTGGTCCCTCCTGTTATGCAACCACCCATGCTTGATTTGAAACCCTTACCCCTTACTCTGAAATATGCTTTCCTTGAGTCTAATAAACAATTACTTGTTATTATTGCTAGCTTGCTGTCTGAGGATAAGGAAGAGAGACTCTTATCTGTTTTAAGGGAGCATAATAGGCAATAGGGTAGACCTTAGTGGATATTCCTAGAATTAGTCCAGCTATTTGCACACACAGGATTCTCCTTAGTGAGGGATCAAAACCAGTGAGGCAGACCCAGAGACGACTAAACCCTCCTATCCTTGATGTAGTTAAGAAGGAGATTACTAAGCTTTTAAGTGCAGGGATTATCTATCCCATTTCGGATAGCAAATGGGTCAGTTGGTACACGTAGTACCCAAAAAGAGCGGGGTGACCATGGTTAAGAATGAACAGGATAAGCTTATCCCTACAAGGGTGCAAAATTCATGTTGTGTGTGCATAGACTATAGAAAACTCAATGATGCCACATGAAAAGATTACTTCCATATCCCTTTCATAGATCAAATGTTAGAGAGGCTTACTGGCAAGTCACACTATTTTCTTTAGATGGCTTTTCAGGTTATTTTTAGGTTCCTATAACCCCCAAGGATCAGGACAAAACCATATTTACATGCCCTTTCGATACCTTCACTTATCGTAGGATGCCATTTGGGTTATGTAATACTCCAGGCACCGTTCAAAGGTGCATGATAGCGATTTTTAGTGGCCTCCTTGAGAAAAACATGAAAGTTTTCATGGATGACTTCACAGTCTATGGGGAGAGTTTTGATCAGTGCTTGAATAGCCTAAAGCAAGCTCTTGAGAGGTACATAGATAAGAAGTTGGTCTTAAATTTTGAGAAATGTCATTTTATGGTGGATAGTGGGATAGTTTTAGGCCACCTAATTTCCCAAAAGGGGATTGAGGTTGATGAGGCTAAGATTGAAGTTATTTTCTCACTTTCTTACCCCGCCTGTCATAAAGATTTGAGATCCTTCTTAGGGCATGCAGGGTTTTACTGGTGATTTATTAAAGATTTTAGTAAAGTTACCTTACCCCTTTCTACTTTGTTGAAAAAAGATGTGGAATTTAACTTTGACGACAATTGTAGACATGCCGTTGATACTCTTAAATCTATGCTTGTTTCACCTCCAATTTTAATTACAGCTAACTAGGATTTACACTTTGAACTATCATGTGATGCTTCTAATTTTGCAGTGGGTGCCATGCTTAGTCAAAAGGAGGAGAAGTAAGCCAGAGTTATAGCTTATGCTTCTAAAACACTTGACCCAACTCAAGTTAACTATACCACCACCGAGAAGGAGATGTTTGCTATTGTTTTTGCCTTGGATAAGTTTAGGCAATATCAAATCAATTCTTGAGTGGTTGTGTTTACAGATCATGTGGCGGTTTGCTATCTACTCAAGAAGCCACAATCCAAGCCAAGATTGATAAGGTGGGCTTTGCTTCTGCAAGAGTTTGATATTGAGATAAAAGATCGAGCCAGGGCAGTGAATCAAATAGTCGATCACCTAAGTAGGCTACCAGAGAATACAAAGGGAGTAGACTCTTTTGAACTCGTGATTCTTTTCCCAATTCCACTTTATATGTTGTGGTTGTTAAAGGGCCTTAGTATACTGATACTGTCAATTATCTCATGACCAGACTCACCCCTCTTTTTATGTCTAGATTTCAGGCACAGAAGCTTCGAAGCGAGTCCCAACACTACATATGGGATGTACTACATCTGTGGAGAATGTGTAGTGATCAAGTCATTAGGAAGTGCATGCCAAGTGAAGATTTCGAGCCCATCATTTCAGCTTGCCATTTCATGGTTTGTGGGGGTCATTTTAGTACAAGGAGAATATCTAGGAAAGTCTTAGATTCTGGATTTTATTGGTCAACCCTTTTCAAAGACTCTTTTGCATTTTGTCAGTCCTGTGACAAATGTCAACGTTTTGGAGGGTTAGGAAAAAGGCATGAGATGCCTCAATAGCCTTTATTGTTTTGCGAAATCTTTGATGTTTAGGGAATTGATTTCATGGGACCCTTTCCTTCATCCTTTGGTTTTGTATATATTTTGTTAGCTGTAGATTATGTGTCTAAATAGATAGAAGCGATACCTTCTAGAAAAGATGATGCCCAAGCTATTTTAAAATTTCTTAAATCAAACATTTTCTGTAGGTATGGGATCCCAAAAGTTGTAGTGAGTAACAGGGGTACACATTTCTGCAATAGGGTTGTAGATAATCTATTTTCAAAATTTAGTGTCACTCATAAAGTCTCCACTGCCTACCACCCCCAAACCAATGTTCAAGCTGAAATTTCAAATAGAAAGGTGAAGCACATACTGAAAAAGATAGTAAAGCCTTCCAAGAAAGACTGGAGTTTACATTTGGAAGAAGCATTGTAGGCTTACTGGACGGTATACAAATCACCTATTAGCATGTCCCCTTACTGCTTGGTCTTTGGGAAAGCTTGCCATTTACTAGTGGAGCTCAAGCACAAGGCCTATTGGGTAGTCAAGTAGTGCAACATGAATATAGAGTCTGTCGGAAAGGGGAAGAAGTTGCAACTGCAAGAGTTGGAGGAGCTTAGACTCAAAGCTTATCAAAACTCTAGACTCTATAAGGAGAAAACAATATTCGTGCATGACCGGGGAATCCTATAGAAGCATTTTAAAGAAGCAACTGAGTACTGTTGTATAAGGCCTGGTTCACTTTCAAGCAAGGGAAATTCAATACCCGATGGGATGAGCCCTACACGGTCACAAGAGTGCATAACTTTGGCATGGCTGAGCTTTTACATGAGGAGACTAGAGCCAGACTCAAAGTAAATGGCCATCTATTGAAGCTCTACCATAAGAATCAAAAGCCTCCTTAACTCCTAGGTTATTTTTTTCCTTCACTCATTTACTTACTTTTGCCCTATTTTTGCTCGTGATATATCCTGTGCATTGGTATGCTGATCGAGTGTTGGGAAGAAACCATCTCAGTAGTATAGTTTTAGTGTAGTTGGTTATTTTTCCATTCAATAAGATTCCCTTCTTGATTTTGACCTCTGCTCTTTCTTGTTGTGTGCTTAATTGTTATAGTGCAATAAATTGTTAAATTATCTATTTTTGATTGATAGAGAAAGTTTGCTACTCTTTTCTGTGTGTTGTGCTACCTTATCATGCACTTATTGAGCACCTTTTGATCTCATTTTGTGCACTTAAAAGTTTTTGAAGTATCCAGCTGCCCTTTTTGTTTGTGTGCTTTGTTCCTCTACTACTATGTTGTTTTTGTTTAGTTTTTGGGTGTCTATGGCTACTTTCACCGCAGTGAACTTCATCCTTTACCGTAGCAAAGTTGCTCAACTTGTGTTTGTTGCTCTCGGTATACCTTCACCATGATGAACTCCAACTTTTGTCACGACAAAGCTCACCCAGTTCTATGTGTTGCTCTCAGGACACTTTCACTGTGACGAACTTTTGGTTTCATCACGGTACCGCTATGAAACCCCAAATTCTGCGCATAAATTTTCACAGAAACCCTACTTTTCAGTGCTAAATTACCATTCTGCCCTTTGTAACTGCCTACCCATTTAATTTCTTTAACTCCATTTTCGTCTTTTCACTTCCCTTCAACCTTTAACCTCCCCAAACATTCCCCTCAGTTGCAAAACCCCTCTAAACCGTCACCCCTTATTTTTCCCACCTCCTCACTTCTCATTCTTTTTCTTCCCCATCTTCTCCCGTATTCAACCACCACTCCTCTCTAGTTTACCCCACTGCCTGCCATCCTCTTCTCGATTATCCTTCATCCCTATGGTGCTTATCATCTTCAGTGCCTACTCACTCCTTCTCTGTGCAAGTTTCCCCTTTTTCTTCTGTAAGTTTTTCTTCTTTTTTCTTTTTTAGTTACTTCTTTCTTTCCTCTGTTTTCTATCTTTGTTTCAGGGTAGTTATTTGTTTAGTTCGTTTAGTTGGTTGTTTAGTTGGGTTTTTTTCTTTCAGTTTTCAGTTACGTAGCTCTTAGGCTATCTAATGATTCATGGTGCATTTTTTTTTCCTGTGATTCCTTTACTCAACTATCAAAATTTTTGGTAAATTAAAAACCTATGAATCATTACATAGCCATTTGCTATTGCCTAGGTTGGTAATTTTGCTTTTTCTGGGGTAGTTTTAGCTGCTGTCTATTTGGTGTTTGTTTAGTGTGTTTTGTTTGTTGTGTTTAGAGAATGCCTCATACTAAGAACCTTGCACCTGTGTCTGAATCTAATTTTAGGGATGAGTATACTTTTAAGGAGCTGTATGAAAAGATTGATTAGAGACCTCTTCTTGAGGAGCGACCTTTTCCCTTAGACCCCCCAGATAACCCTTTTGTCTGCCAACTCCGAGCATCTCAATTGACCGGTTTGGTCTGAAGCATTCTATGGGAAATGATGCTTTTGTTTGCCATTTCTACACCTATGCCTGATTCCATGGTTCCATGATCATTAACTTTCGTAATGTTCATGTCCACCGTTTTTTTAACGCTGAAAACATTCGCTACCATTACTGCCTTCCCCCTTGTCACCATTCTAGTTATTCTAAATCTAGAGATAACTATTCTTCTGACGATGTTGTCTAAACCCCGTGTCATGAAGGTGCCACTTGGCATCGTCCCCACACTATAAAACAATACCTAAAGCGATCCAAGTTTCGACTAGAGGCTCATCCTTGGCTACACTTTGTCTACAACAACTTAGTACCTACTACCTACCCAGCCAACGTTCCTAAGCACCAAGCCTTATACATCTACCTTCTCATGACTGGCCGATGATTTGACGTAGCCGATACTATTTACTCAACTCTCCATGATGCCATCAATACCCCCAAACTCACCAACAGTATCATTTTCCCCCACTTAGTCACAGACATTTTTCACGCTGCCAATGTCCCTGAGTACAATAATGACGTACAGCTACTTTGAGCCAGCCCCCTTATTTTGTTATGACCGCCTTAAACAGCCCGTTATTGGACCACCCCCTCCCATCCAACCTATCTACGACATTAGAGCAGCCCCTGCAGCTGGTGTACCAAGCCAAGAAGGCCAGGATGATCAGGAAGCTCCCGAACCTATCACCTTGAACATCCTGGCTGATGATATTGATGACCTGGCAGAGCACATCCACCAGTTGTGTCACACTCCTCCGAGAGATGAAAAGGCAGAAGGATCGCGATGCTATTTATGATCGAGACCGGTGTTACTGCCGTCGTATGGATGCTTTGATTGCTAACCTGTTGAACTTTCTCCTACCCCTCAAGGAGGATGACCCTCAGAGTGGAGCAGGGACATCCGCAATGGGCACTTCTAGTGTAGGACCATCTGGGTCTGGGACAGATGATACTGGGATGCAGTAGTAGTTCTTTCTTTGTTTGCTTTATTTCTGTTTTAAGTCGATGCTGTGGGATACTTTTTAAGCTTTTTGGTGTTTTCATTACTTTACACTTGCCTTGTTGGATTAGATGCTCATTTAACTTTCAAATACTGATAGCCTTCTTACTTTGCTGTTATCTTTACAATTGCATTGATCCCTTACTCTATTTTCACTTATCCTTTTTGTTTTGCCTGCAACCTATCACCCTTCTCCCTCCTTTTTGTGAATTCGATGTGTTGTGCTTCAATTTAAATTGGACTTCACAACTTCCGATTCACTCATTGATTGGTTTGCATGTACCGGTTTAAACATTGAGGACAATGTTGTGTTTAAGTATGGGGGAGGTATCTCCATTTTTTATTTCAGCAAATGCTTCATCATGCATCCATTTTAACTCTTTTGGTCCTTAGAACTGATCAACTGTGGCATTTTTGAAGTTATGAAAGTTAATTTCTAGGGAAGTTTGAAAATTGCATTGCATTCTATCTTTCTACAAACCCTCACCACGGCAAACTCCTTCCTTTAACATGGCGAAGCACTTCTTTCTCAGCTATTTTCACTTCTCGGTCATACTTCATCGCGGCCAACTTATGGTTTCGCCACAGGGAAGCAGGCCTGTTACCAGATTTTCTTCTTGGCCAATGTTTGCCATGGCACACTCCTTCCTTCACCACGATAAAGTCTAAGTAAAAAACAAACCTTAAATGCTTTACAATTTCATTTTTCTTCCTTTGGAAATCCTCTTGTTTAAGATTCTTAATACTCCTGCATTTTTAAAAATTGTTGAAAAATTCAAATTATACTTGTTCTTTTAGAAAACTACCTATGCTTTTAAATGATGGTTGAACTTAGACTGGTCATTCCCCACTGTTTTTTGACAGAGTAAATGAGGGTATGTTTTGAAAATAGGATTATGTACTTTTAAACCTTGAGATTGATTAATTGAGATACTAGCCTTGTTGGAAGGATATTTGGGCCCGAATTTGTTAAATTGTATGAGTCTGTTTAGTTTCATATTTCTCTAGAACCTGTTTTAATCCTTAATCGAAGCTTGATGAATCAACATTTTGTGAACATGATAGAGGCATTCGATTCCAAACCCTTATTACCTAAACACAAGCCCAAACACCTTACCATTTCCAACCCTTTTGGACCTTCACTTTAAGTACATGCATACAAATAAATTGTAAATATTTTATTCTATGTTGGCCTTGGTTTTATGTTTAAACAAAAAAAAAAGTGTGAGAAAAACCAAAGAAAGAAATAAAATAAATAGTAAAAAAAAAGAAAAAGGAGAGTTGGTATTTCAAAAAAAAATTATTATTATTAGCTCCTTTCTTCAGGAACATTTATGTTCCGTGGATAGAATAATTGTTATGCTTATACTCAATTCCTCTTTCTCTTTTATTCCATCCATTTCACTTGACCATCACTAAAATTTACAAACCCTAAAGTCCTCTTGATTTGCAATTTGTGGTTCTTATGGTGGAGAGGTAAATTATCACAAGCTTATGGTAGAGATTGGACTGAACAGACTTAGAGTGAAATAATCCCAAGACAAGTGAGTTGAGAGCTAAAAACATATCCTTGAGATAAATCTCTTTTGTTCAATCTTTTGGATTAAATGTCTATAGTGTTTACTTTCTTAGCGTATCTTTGCTTTACCGTTGTCAATCTCCATGGGAATTTCTTACTAATCTTCTACTATCATCTTAAGCATGTTAGTATTTCTCATTGCACTGGTATCTTTTTGAATCATTTTTAGGCTTTGTCCATGAGTACAAAAGTCTAAGTATGGGGGAATTTGATTGAGCTCAATTGTTTATACTATTTGATGGCATTTTCTATGTTTTTGTTACACTTTTTGACTTATTTCTAATGATATTTGTACTTAATTAAGATTGATGGTCTTTGTTTTGAGTTAGGGTTGTTTGAGGGTAAAATTGTCATATTTATTAATTAATTGCATTTAATTGATTTTTGAGACAATTGATCCCTTAAACCATTTCTTTTTATTTTAGGACACTTAAGAAAAAAAAGAGCCAAGAGTGAAGACTAAGGAAGTGTAGCACACAAGACGCAATAGCGCCTATACTAGGTTTCGCTGCAACCAACTCATGTTTCGTCACGGCGAAGCAAGGATCCTCCACTTGAAGATCCCTTTGGGAAGGTTCACCGTGGCCAACTTCTATCTTCACCGTGGTGAAGACACCATATCAGCAGAAGTCTTCTCGCCCATGGTTCGCCATGGTGAACCACTCGAATCAGTAACCCAGACTTGAACCATTTTTTAGAAATTTTACCTACCCACTCTAAAAAACCGACCCAGTACACCTCAATACCAGTTTAGAAACCCTATTTTCATGCAAGTAACATCATTCACTGAGACCATAGCCTCTATCCCTGTTTTCTCTCATCTTTCTCTCATCTAACCCTAATTTCTTCCATTTTCCACTATCAAACCTCCTGATAAGTCTCATTATTTGCATACATTTCTAGCCCTAAACTCATGCTTTTGCCATCTATATTTGCATACTTTGGGCATAATTAGCTTCCATTGTGCATAAGAGTTGGTGAGAGGAATTGTGAGGTTTTATAGGTGTTTTTACATGTTTTTATATGATTTTATATGTGTGTACTTTTGATCCCTGCTTTGGTATGAATTTCAGGGAGTTTTAGTAGCAGTTTTGCCATTCTGTCTGAGGCGCCACGGCGGATTTAGGAAAGCGCCGCGGCCGATTTCCAATGGTACTCTCGGTGAAAGGCGCCACAGTGGATGGACTAAGGCACCACGGCGGACGGAAGTTTTCATGAAGCTCAGGATCATTAATCAAAACGGCACCGTACAGGACAGGCGCCGCGGCAGAGGCGCCGCGGCGGATGACGAAAAATTCCATATTTAAATGCAGAGTCGCGCGCTTCAACGGGATACCAGATTTTTCAGTTCCTCATTCTCCTCCCAGACGCGATTTTCTTGCTCTCTCCACCCTC